TAACAGCTCAGTTGTGAATGCTGTTCCCCTGACAGTTATTACTAAAGATGGAGCGCAATGCCTCAGGACAATATTCGCAATAAAAAACCGGGCTGATTCACTTGTCATGCCCCACTCCGAAAAATTGGTTTCGGCGTAGTGACTGAGGTAGTCTGTGGCTACAATTATTCACCTGCGACTAGCAGCCGGAGTTGGAATTGGTCCTAGAAGATATATTCCGACTTGAGCGAATGGACTTTCCGGTGCATCAATTGGGAAAAGGAGCCCTGCTGGTTTGACGGCTGGCACTTTCCTACGTTGGTAGTCAAGGGAAGTCTGAGCGTGCTGTTGAACAGTTGCCGCCCGTCTTGGCCAGTAATACTTCTCTCTCACTCGGCACAGCGTTCGTGCGTAACCTTACTGACCGGATGCCAGTTATTCATGCCGCGCCTGTAGTACTTCTCTCCTGAGTGGTGTTGGGGCGACAAATAAGTAGGTGTTTCCGATTGGAGAAATGTTCACCTTATATAGACTCTATTGCGCAAGCCTAACGATTCTAGCCCTCTTGCAAAGAGCTTTGGCATAGCTGATGTGCGTCCCTCCAAACAATCAATAATGGATTGCAACTCGAGGTCGTCGCGTTCTTGTTGTTGTCTAAACGTGTTGACAACACCTACAAATGCCACGTCGTCATCATCTTAGGTACTTGCGTTTTTCAGTGGGGCGCAAGAAAGGCGATCGGCATCCGTAAGTCGCTTCCTCAATCCATATCAAATAATCGAAGCTTAAGGCTCCAGCGCGCCAATAGTCTTGACGGGCTTTTTAAGCTCGTGAACCAGCAAAGAGAGTGGTGGTTGCTGATGTGTTCAAATGGGCAGCCCTAAGAGTATTGGGGAAACTTTAAAACCGCCCTTACCACCGCAAGGCACTCTTTTTCATTTGTGGAGTATTTCTCCTCTGTAAGGGAGAGATTCCTAGTTGCATAATCAATTACTCGCTCGGCACTTTCTTGCCGCTGCACGAGTACAGCTCCTAAGCCGACATTCCTGGCGTCAGTGTGAACCGCTGTCGGAGCGTCATCGTCGAAGTGTCTGAGCACTGGTGGGCTTTGAATACGTTTTCGCAGCTCGTTGAACACCGCTGCTCTTCAGCCCACACGAACGTGTCGTCTTTCCGTGTGAGACGTGTTAAATGTGAGGTAATCCGTAAAACATTCTCAATGAAGCGTCGGCATTAGGCGCAGAAGTCTAAAAACGTCTCACTGCCTTCTTGTCTCATGGCGTGAGAAAACTAGCAACAGCGTATATTTTTTTGTCTGGGTCAGGCCGTACACCTTCACTGCTGGCAAGGTGCCCCAATAAAAGATCTTCGAGGCCAAAGTGCCATTTTTCCGGTGTAAGCGTTAGTCCCACCAATCGTATCGCTTGAAATACCGTGAGTAGTCGCTTCAAGTGTTCGCCAAATGTCGCTGAAAGTACAATGATTTCGTCCAAATATACTAGGCACGTTTGTCACTTCAGGTGTGATAGGACTGTATACACGAACCGCTGAAACGTGGCCGGTGCTGAGCACAAGCCGATTAGGAGAACTTTAAGCTGATAGAGACTACCGGGTGTCAAGAATGCTGATTTTTCTTGATCTCTTTCGTCAGCTTCTGTTTGCCGAGATGCGCTCCGTGAGTTCGTCGACGAGAAATAGCGTGCATGGCGTAGTCGATCTAGGGAAACATCTATACGAGGTATTAGGTAAGCGTCCTTTTTCATAACCTGATTGTACTTGCGTTCTTCAACGCAGAAATGTAAGATGCTGTCTTTTTTCTTTACTAATACTACCGGCTGTGCCCAAGTTCTTTGGGTGGCTGAATAACGTCATTGTGAAGCAATTTTTCCAGCTGACTTTTTATGGCCTCACGTTCGCATGGAGCTACTCGGTATGGGTTTTGCCGTATAGGTCTGGTCGTTTTACTGACGTGATATATCGTCAACGGCGTTTGGCGAATTCTGAACGTCGAAGGAAGATAGCAATGAAACTTATTGAACTCCAGAGGGCATTGCTTGTGCGTGGGCAGTAAACTTGGGCCAATACCGAAGGATAGAGGTGCTGCCCCGGTGACATAGGTATTGTCTTGAGTCAAAGAGCCTACAGTCAAGGAGTGAGTTCCTCTACGTACGCGACTGTCATACCTCTCGCAAGATGTCGTCGCTCAGCACTGAAATTCCTAACCAAAACCTGCGAGTGTACGAAATTGATGCTCACGACGGCTCTTGCAATACATAGACCTTAGCTGAACAGCAATGCTCTAATTTGTTCGGCGATGATGGTGGAAGTTGCCTGGCTGCTCGCATGTTACAGCAACGAGAGCACTTGACCGTGGTAGAAGGGTCACGTGATCTTCGAACTTCGAAGACGCGCGGATGTTTACGTCACTGGTCGCTACACCGCAAATTTGAAACTTGATCTCAGGCGACCTGAAACGTAACTGACCTGTCTGGAATGTCAATGACCGCCTTATTCACACAGAAAGTCCATTCCTAAGATCAGGTCTCTACAGCAGTCGGACGAAATTGCGAACGTGGCAATGAACACTGAATCGCCGATAATAGTTATGGCAGTATACTTTCCAGTCGGCGCTACTAGTTGGTGCCCCGCAATTCGTATGTTAGGCCCCGTCCGTGAAGTTTTAACTTCTTTTTAAGCCAATCGGCAAGCTTTCGTCTCATAATAGAGAAATCTACGCCTGCAGTATCAACTAGAGCCGTCACAGGACGGCCGTCTACGTAAACATCTACGTCGGCGCTTACGGTTTTCTTTGATGTCACTAACGTTACATAGTTCGTCGTATTGCGCTGGTACTGTTTGTATTGCAGCATCTCGGCGGGCGGCATTCTTCCCTCCAAAGGTCACAGCTGTTAGTTTCCCCGATGAGGGCTTGGGGGCCTTCCCCGGACAGCGTCGGCGTAACTACGATGGTTCGGCGAGCCCCTCGGCGAAGGTGACCGAGAGCGGTATCAACGACACAGAGTGGATTGCTGTACTTGCGGATGCACGCTGTCATGTTGGGTGTCAGAATGAGCTCGTGAAAAGGTCGGCGCAAATGACGAGCATCTTTATTCACGATACGGGCAGATGCAGTAAACATGCCCAGCTTCTCTACAATGAAAACAGAGTCGACGGTGGTCGATGCTGTGCCACAAATCCGTCTTGCGAACGAATGGTCGACGGGTGGGCATACTCGACAACCAAGTTGCAGGTGGTGGCGGAGAGTAGAACGGGGTTTCGGTATGCGCGTCATATTGCGTAGTCATCGTCGTCAATGGCGGAGGTGGTGGCTGCGGTGGGTGGTAGACTGGTGCCGCTGGCGCGTTGTAAGAATGAGCGAGTGAAAACGAGTTCTGCAGCACTGGCGACAGATGACGGCCGACGGACGGCTGATGCATAATCAATAGATCGCTGAGCTGGTAGGGATTCGGGCAGTGAAAATGCTTCCCTGATTTTGTGCCGCACAGCTTCTTCAACTCAAGACATTGCATATTCTTGCGGAGTCACAAGGAAGCAGCGCAACTCCTCACGAACAACCTCACGAATGAGCTCACGCAGAAAACTGTCACTGTCGACCGTTAGAGCAGAGACGCTGATTGAGGCGCCATTTGGTCGGTCGTATTAGCGACACTGTTTTGGCAGTTCTCACTCGATAGCTCTAGACTGAAAAATTCCAGAAACGTTGTTCATTAGATTATAAAGAAGACCGGCAAACAGCTGTTCTTTGACGCCTCTAATCAAATGGCGGAGTTTCTTGGCTTCAGGAATCTCAGGGTCAGCCCGTCTAAATAGGCAGGTCATGCCTCCTGCGAACATGGTGACACTGGCATTTGGCTTCTGGACGCGAGACTCGATGAGTTGCTGAGCTAAATCACGGCGGTTGTAGTTAACGAAGGTGCGGGGAAGTTGCTGCCGAAATTCATCTCGTAAAGACAGCGTTGCCTCGTGGCTCTCATGCCACGTACGAGAGCTATCCGCTAAAGCAAAATAGGCATGCGAAAGCTTTTGTCCGAAGCTCCAATAGTTTGCCTTGGCGAGTCGCTGATACTGGGCTAACTAGTCCTCAACGTGTACATATGCCTCACCACAGAATATTTCGGGAATCTGAGGCTGCTCAAAAGTCAACTGTGAAGCACCTGCAGTTGCTATTTCTTTAGGTGGAGTGCGTTGCTGGAAAATTTCGAGGGGCATTGCCTCAGGACTAAGGCCTCGCTGTTGGAGACGGTAGCGGTGGACAGGGGTATTCACAGAAGGAACGCGTTGCGGTGTCAGACTTGTGCCGGACCACGAAGGAGTTTTGAGAATCAGTCGTAGAATTCCAGCACCGTCAGCATTGTAGCAAGAGAAAAAGAACAGTACACAAGGCTTCGTTTTGACGAAAATAGCAAGGATGTATTCACACACAAGAACACAACGCAAGACCAGACGCCCAACGTCGCCTTTTTTGAAAATGCCAGAAACTGCTCCTGGTGATGCTTGCTTTGTTCTCCTTTGTTTTGCTGATAGCTAATAATCGTGACAATTTATTGGTTTTAAAAAGCACCCACGCCATGGTCAAGCAGGCTAATTGTAGGCTAAGGCACTCATGAGTCAACTCACTTGAACTCACACAAAGATCACTCCGTGAGCCTCAATGAATCTGGGTGAAATTATTCTCGCACGTATAAGTCCCAGTGAGTCCGGTTGAGGAACAGTTTCGTGAGTGCGAGTCTGAGTGAGTCCGGTTTAGAAAACGTTCGATGAGTCTGAGGCTGAATGAGTTCGAAACGCAAAGAAAAATATCTTATGAATGAGTGCGAGTGAGCTCCACAATTTTTCCCAACCTATGACGTCGCCGCATTACATCATAATGACATGGTGACGTATATGCAAAAAGTCGCCATGCTAGCCCCTCTACTTAAAGTTATCATTCACGTTCTGTTAGTGAGCGAGCTTAATACAGTGCGCTATCCTCAGTGTTTTTTTTTCAATTTTCACTGCAGAGGCTGCACCCCTTTGCATGAGCTCATGCAGAGTGAAGGAAAAGAACTTCGCGAAGCCCAGGAAAAAGTCGGCATGGACGATCCTTTCACCATCCTGTTTACCTCGGTGAGTTTGGATTCATAAATGCCCTAGAGCCAGAGTTTCATGGTTAACACCGTGCGCGCGAATGTTGTAGTCGTTTCGCCATCAAAAGTACTCTTAAGAATCATATAAATTGCAAATATTGCATCGTCGTTTTAAGAAAGTGTGCTCGTTTCCTTTGTGCATTTTTTTAGGCAATTTTCAGCCATATACTCTATTTTGTAGCTCGATTACACTGTAGTTCTTTGACTTTGACATATATTAAGAAATTACACAGCACAGAAAGCTGGGTGAGTTCGTAATATATTGTAAAGCGTGTCTTGCACACAATACCTTAGACGACAATTAAATAAAAACATGAGGCAACTGCGGTTTCTGTTATCGTATTCTGTATAACGTTTTCCGTCATTTTGTGTCCCTTTTCATTTTTCGTAAAACGCCTGTCACAACTGACTGTTATATTTCACAATTACTGCTCTACTGTGACCAACCGTTTTCACAGACTGAAAGTGTGCTTACCTGCACTGCACATTAATTGCATAGCGGTAAATAGGTCGTTTTCCAGAAATGCTTGCGTTGGTGCTGGCGTCAAAGTCGATGTGGTCGCTTTGAGGTAAAGTCATCATCTTGTCCGTGACCTAAAAATTGAGAAAGACGTCAATAAAATAAAAAAATAAAAATTCACAGGTTTGAGTCAGGATTGAATCCAGGCTGCTTGCGTGACTAGCAGGTCTTCCTCCACACAGACACGCGTCTTTTTCTTAACTTCCGGTTGCACGTCAAACATATGGAGACAAGGTAATTCAATTACAATACCCGACAAACATCACAACAAACACTACTACAGCCGTGAAGCACTGATAAAGAACATCACGCCTCAAAATCTCGTCATTGTAAGGAAGGTTTCTACACTTTCTAAGCATGAAGGAACAAATTCGTTTTTTCTTGCTGCCTCGACAAACCTCGCGATGTTTTCTTTCAAATACTGTCTTGCTGGTCAATGTAAAAGTCACAGTGAAATGCTGCCATTCGAGAGTGCCATATGCTGTGCAAGGTAATCACAAGCCAAATGGTGATTCGCTGTGTGTTATATGGTGTGTGTTAAATGGCAATGTCGGTGTACTGCAGTGGACTGTTGGTTGTCAATACTACTTTTGTTGACTTCAGAGATGTTGAAGAAAATCCGGGTCCCAAGACTGTTGAACTGTTGCAACAAATTTTACATAACCAGAAAGAATGTGATGAGAAGATAAACATCATTAGAAAAGAAGTTGCCGAGCTTAGTGAAAAGTCAGAAAAAATGAACAGCTATCTAATGGCTATGAATGGTAAGCAAAAAAAAATCGAAAGTTTAAAAAAAAAGTCAGAAAGAAGCTGAAAAGCTAGTTGATTATGAAAACAGAAGCCGAAGAAATAATCCACTGGTTTTAGGCATTCCCCAGGCCGAGAATGGGGCCGAGAATGATTTGCAAAGTTCAATGGTCGATAAAGTTGGCAGAAAGAAGTTGGGGGTAGAAATTAATTCGGTAGGAAGAATTCATTGTGTCCGTAAACAAAGACAAAGAAAAGACCAGTAATCTTGAAATTCATAGGTTACCATGAAGAGGACAACGTATTGCGTAATTGCAAGAAACTGAAGGGTGCTTCTTTTTTTGTGTCAGTAACGACTGCTCAAAGCAAAAGCCGAACTAAGAAAGAAGTTACGAGAAAGTCCAGCGCCAGCCCGCGCTAAAGGGGCGAGAATCTCAATAGTGCACGATAAAGTGAAGATAAACGGATGCATGTTTGTCTGGGACGATAAAAAAAATGAGCACCGTCTTTTTCAATACCGGAGTGACAAGGATAACATAGTTAAAGTGACGCCAGTGGCGATTGCAAATTCCAACATGACTTCTTTGACTCGGACAGCTCTGCTGGTAGTTAAAAAAAAACTGATCCCACTCATAGCTAAGAATTGTTGTCCAAAATGCTCGCAGCATCGTCAATAAAGTTACGGAATCAGAATATCTGTTAATGGCACATACATAGTCCCCATGTTGTATTACTGACAGAAACGTGGTTGCGTGATCAAATACGTAGTGATTACATTGTTCCGCCAGGGTATAAGATTTTCAAATGGGACAGAGATACGCGAGGCGGTAGTGCTGCTATCATTGTTAAAAGTTCCATACCAGCTGCCAAGATTGAAGTCATGCTTGTGAATCTGTGTGGTGTAAGATTACTTTTAACGGTATAGTGTACACTATTGGTTCAGTATATAGACCATCTGCGTCTACGCCTCCATTTCTAGATTCGCTAAATAATTTTTTGAGTGACAATGTTAACGAGAACAAGAGGTTGATAATGAACGGAGACTTCAACCTGCCACACGATGACTGGCAAAGTATTATGCCCGCCCCGGTGAGACTGAAACAATGAGTTCTAAAAAACTTCTGAAAATTAATTTCTCTCATGGCCTGGAACAAATTGTGCGTGAGCCAACTATGGTTACAGGTTCTAAAAAGTCAATAATAGCGCTTGTTTTCTTTTCAGAAAATATAACAGACTTTGTCCTAAGCCCTTTAGATGGAATAACCGACCACAAACTGCTGTCCTTAGATATAAAGACTAATGCGTGCAGTTTAAAAAGACCGTTCCTTCAGGTAAAAGTAAAAGATTTTAACAAGGCCGATGGCACCTCCACCTTAGATATTTTAGAACAGCAGCTTTATGACTTTGAGTGAGTATCTGGCTTCGAATCTGTGGAAGAACAATTGTGGCAGAGATTTAAAAGCAATGTGGTGACTTGCGTTGATCGCTATGTTCCTGCTCACATGAGAAAACATAGCGATCAACGCAAGCCACGACATTCACCGCTATGTTGCCACTCACATTAGGAAAAAGCTTTGCGCAGAGGTGGTGTTGTGCCCAATGAAATCACATTTGGAAAACGCGTAAACAAAAACCTTGGATAACACGCAGCATAATCCATATGAAACGGCGAATTAAGACTCAGAAAAAGGAAAGATAGAGCGACGGAAGTAGCAACTATAAAAGTCAAGTTGAAAGAAGCCCTGGAGAATTCAAAGAAGTTTTTTGAGTGAAACGCTTGTTACTTTCTTTAGATGCTCGCCATGCAAATTCTGGCGTTACTTCAGTGAAAGAAAGGAAATAATTAAGCAGATTGATAACGAGGGGCATATTCAGACAAAAGTTGAAGACTTAACGAAAATTATAGCACGAAAACAGAACGACGACACAGAGACAAGAAGGACACTTCGTCGTTCTGTTCTCGGGTACACCTATCGTCATGTCATACCAACTAGACCAAGCTGCCACACTTAGAAGACTTAGCCGGTACTTTTACTCGTTTTTTTTTTCAGTCGGTTTTCACAATACACCAGGGAGATAAGAATGAAACATCCGTCAATACCGACGTAACAATCACAATGGAGCCCTTTATTATCAATTATGAAGGTGTTCTTCAGTTACTGCTTGAGCTAGAAGCGAAGAAAGGAAGCGGTCCGAATAATCTACCAACAGATTTTCTCAAGAGATATGCCGAATGGGTTTCGTTTTATTTAAAAATATTATTTCTAAAATCAGTAAAGACGCAATCACTCCCACAAGACGGGTGCAATGCAATTGTAATACCGATTTTCAAAAATGGTACCCGTGCATTAATAAACAATTACCGACCTGTTTCCTTGATGTTGGTTTGCTGTACTGATCTAGAACATGTAATTGCCAAACACATTCCTAGTTTTCATGAGTCTAACAAGTTACTTTGTTCTGACCAACATGGGTTTTGGCACGGTCTTTCAATGGTCCCAAAATTAGCAAAAACGCTTCACAATTTCTGTAAAAACGTCAATGCCTACGTGCAGACTGATTTAATTTGTGTAGATTTCAGCAAAGCTTTCGATAAGGTTTCCCACCGTAAGTTACTTTTTAGGCTTGAAAGATTTGGTATAAGCGAGGAAGTTTAAAAAGGGATAGCAGCTTATTTATCAATGTGTCAATGGGTTGTAAGAATTGAAAATAATACATCAAGACCACTACGCGTGTACTCAGGCGTACCCCAATGGTCTGTTTTAGGATCAATTTATCTTTTTTCTGACATTGGTAATGATATATGTTCAATAGTTAAGACGCCTATTAAAATTAAACTGTTTGCAGATGACTGCTTGACTTATTTCTCAGCGACTTGTGGAGGCGAAAAAATTGATCTGAACAGGCACTTGCAGGCATTAGATGAGTGGTACAAAACGTGGGACATGGAAATAAAATACGGCAAGCAACAATCACGCATATCCACTCCGGTGGGCGGGAACTGTCATGTACCACACGCCTTAGAACAGATGGTATATATATATATATATATATATATATATATATATATATATATATATATATATATATATATATATATATATATATATATATATATATATAACATCTGTTCAAGGCGCACAAAAATTTTATTTCCTCAAAAAAAAAGCTGGAACATGGCACACCAGACGTGAAATTAACTGCTTAAAAAACATTCATAAGACCAGCCTTAGAGTACGCTAGTATTGTCAGGTCACCTCACCAGAAAGTTTTGAGCATTAAAATTGAGAATTATACAAAAATTAGCAGTTCGTTCCGTATGTGATAAATACCGACGCACACAATCTGTCACGGCCTTGTTAGAGTCCCGTGAGCTTGATTGTTTAGAATGTCGTAGACGCAAACAATGCCTCCGTTATCTATTTAGGATTATAAGCGGGCAAACAAAAATAAACAAGGGTTTATACCTTCAGCCACCTAAGGGCAATGTAATTGTCTTAATACTAACAGAGCTATTCAACCCTAGCTCACACGCAAGAATGCTTTCCGCCACTCTTTTTTTCCAGACGCAATAGAAATGTTGAATAGCTTACCTAATTAGGTTGTGCAACAAACGACGTCAGTCAACATTAAAGATGTGTTAGACAGCTTTCTCTGCAGTCATGGTGGCTAACTTCTGTTGCCAGCATTTGTTTCTCGATTTTAATCCTGCT